GCGCTAAATTTGGAACAATTTCAGTTAAAGAAACAAGTAGGTTCACCATTGATATGTTGGTGGAAAGAATTCAATTTTTTTTAAATAAAATTTTTAGTTTGAATTTTGTTAAAGGAAAAATAAGAGTCGAGAAAGTTTCCCTCAAATGGATCCAACAAAATTCAATTCTAAATTTATCGAAATTCAATGTAATTACCAAACACTAGAAGATTAATATTAAAAAAAAATCATTTTTATACCTGCTTAATTTTACCCTAAGGTTTCATAATGATGATTAAAAAATATAATGTTTCGTTACCAATAAAAGGTGCTTGTTCGTCCAACACTTCGGAACTTACTATTCTTTTTTGTAGGACGCATTTAAAATTACTAAAACCTGAGTTCTAATCCCAAGTTCCATCTTCCTTCGAAAACATTTTTCATTGTTCAAAAAAAAATAAAATAAAATAAAAATAAAAGGTGCTTGTTCGAGAGCGTTTTTTTTTTTTTTTTTGACCAGGTAGATGGTTAGAAAGTTAGTAGAGTTAGTTTCCACTCCTCATTTGAGGCGCGCAACCATTAGATCGCAAGTTGGTGGAGTTCACGGTGGTGGCAGAGCTCGAAGCCCTGACGTGACAAGAATAGCACCCAGTAACAATGAGCGCGGGGGAATTCGCGGCGGTTGAACGTTCTCAGGGAAGAGGATATCTCTTGTATAAAAAGAGCGGGGCTTGGAGGCAGAGCTTCTTCTGTCTTTAGGGATAGATTTTTTTTTGGAGAAGAACTATTGAAAGAGTTGTGCATATTAATATACATAGAAAAAATTAGAGAGATGGGCGGGGTGATATTTATGCTACTGGTGTGCCTCTCCGGCGCAGCGGTGGTTCACGGCGAAGATCCTTACCTGTTCTTCACTTGGAACGTCACCTATGGCACCATCTCTCCCTTTGGAGTTCCCCAGCAAGGTATCCTCATCAATGGCCAATTCCCTGGTCCCAACATCAATTCCACCACCAACAATAACATCGTCATCAATGTCTTCAATAATCTTGATGAGCCTTTCCTTTTGACATTGTATACAATTTCATTAATGTATTCATACTCAATTAATTATAT